GATCATCCTTCCTCAGAACTGCAGAGAGAAAAGACTTCCAAGGTCTTCCCAGCCCCAAGAGAGTCAGGGGACACTCATGGAATGGCAGTTTTACTTGCTTTTTCTTACAAAGAGAGAAGTTGCCACTAAGGAAAATGGCCTGCCTGAGTAAAATATATATGAAAATGGATGTTTTTGAAAAATTTGCCAGAGGACATATGTGCTCACCAGAGAAAAAGAGAGAGGGAGAGAAAAAGACCGAGAAAGGGAGAGAGAGAGAGAAAGCGAGGAAGCACAGATCCACGGGACATGGTCACACCCCATCCTGCATTTCCTCCCGTCAGGATTCTGAGCACACCCGTACGTGTCTGACATGTTTTTTTAAAGACGTTGGTCTGGGACTTGTCAGGAGCAGTCAGCCACATGGAATCCAGCTGCTTTAACTACTTCACTGTGGGCTGCTAGAGACTTTTCAGTTATAAAAATTTGTAGAAGAAATACATGCTGAAGGTGACATAGATGTGGATTTGTTGTTGTTTCTTTCCTTCCTTCCTTCCTTTCTTCCTAATTGCTGGAGGACAGATGTGCTCACCAGTTAGAGACTGGGGAAGGGAGTGAGAAAAGGGATGGAAAGCATTCCCCAGTGGCACGCTGTCACACTCAACTGCTTGTTCATTTCTCCATCCGGTTGGGATTTGAGGCACTCCTATACCCATGCCCAGCTAGTTTTTCAAGTCACCTAGGCCATGGGAGATCTGGCTCCCTTAACCTTTCCTCTATGAGAAATCCTGGCTAATAAACATAATGCTTTGTTCACAGCACATCTATATTTTTGTCATTATTTATTATTTGTGTTATTTCTTATGTCTATATAGAGAGAGTAAATAACATTCAACAAGTTTTTGAGACTGACACAGAGATATTTACTCTAACGTTTTTCTCAAAATTGGTGAGGGGGCAAAAAGAGTATTTACAAAACGAAGTGTGTGTTTGATTTGAGGCTTCTCAAACTAGCTGACCATACTGCTTTACACAGCTGCACTCAGGGTAGGTCAGATAAGATGTGGGTTTTAGTTCTCAAAGTTATTAGTACCATATAATTTATCTTCAAAACTCAGACATTTTTGAAAATGAAATGGAGGACTATTCATAACTACAGGAGGTAGCTGATAAAAATTCAGAGTGTCGGTGGCAACAAGAATTTATGTGCACCCTACTTGCAGGTTCTTGTCGCACTGAATCAGAACAAAGACTTACAGGAGGATCTAAACTATCAATTCTCAAATAATAATGGAAGACTGCTGCCAACAAGGTTATAGCATTTTGTTTTTTGTCTTAGATATAACATTTTAAAAATTAAGGAAAAGCTGATATGCACAAAGTTTATTTTTAACTTTATATCATATATGAAATAAAAAGTAAATTATTTCCCACATGTACAATTTTTGTATGAGGGGTAAACACTTTTAACAGCCTGTGACAGAGTCTTCCAGAAATCTCAGACAAGAGTGTCTATCTGTGTGTGTGTGTGTTTCTACTCTGCAGTTTTTGAAGGGGAAAATAACATTTTTATGTGGTCTACAACTTGTTTGCTTTAATATGTATCATGGATGTTTTCCAAGTGAGAACTCATAGGGTTATTAATGTTGTAAAAGTGTTACATTCTTTGAAGTGGCATAGCACAATAGAGAGTACTTAATTCCCATTCCTGGACATTTAAGCTATTTCTTTTTTATTACTATGACAAATAGCAAAATGTTTGTAAAATATTTTATTTATGTGTTTTTTCTTTCTCACAAAGATTTCTATACAATAGGTTCCCAGAACTGTACTTATGTTGGTAAAGTTTTATATATATAAATAACACATAAATGATATGTTTTCAACGATACACTAACAGATCTCCCCCCTTCTCCCCCATTCTTTGTTCTGATTCAGTGCGACCTATTTATAGTCCCCATCAAAGATAAAATTTATATACCACCAAAATTCACCTTTTTAAAGTGCACTATTTAGTAATTTTTAGCATTTTCACATTTAGAAACTTTCCATCACCCAAACAATAGCCCAGTACCCACTAGCCGTCATTCGCACCTGTACTTTTTGTGCCATGTCTAAGAAATGATTCCCTAATTAGGTCAAGAAGCTTTAGATTTATTCATATTATTCCTCTTAGAATTTTATAGTATTTTGCATTTATGTTTGAGTGTATTATCCATTTTGAGATAATTTTTAGTATGGTGTGAAATATTCTTTTACATGTAGCTACCCCATGATCCATTAATTATAAAGTTTTGCCATCTTAATAATTCCAACTGATGTACTATTCCTTTCATTTCTACCATGTAGATTATGTGAGCATATGCATTTTTTTTTGAGAGGTTTTTGCTATAGGGCTCCTGCGCTCACCAGAGAGACAGACAGACAGAAAGTGAGAAATCACCCCCCAGGGGAGGTGGCCATGCTGCAATCCCTTCTCCTCCATTCTCCTCTAGGGATCTTGGGCACACACACACACGCGCGCCTGGCATGAGTTTTAAGCCACCAGGTCCGGGACACGAACCGTGGCTGACTACATGGGAGACCAGTGACATAGCCATTACGCTAACTGCTGTTTCCTGTGTATGCATGTTCTTGAGTTCAATTTCAGTTTTTATATCTTCATCTAGGAATTATGCATTGTTTTGGGACGTGTGTGTGTATATATGTGATTTATTGAATTCATTGAGGAAATATACCAGTCTTCTCTCTTTGAAGAAACGCCTCTAAAACAAGCTCACTGATAATCACTATTTACTCTTGAAAAGGCAATAATTCCAACAGTTTCATACTATTGGATTATCGGAAAAGTCAAGACGTACTTTTCCTAAGCAAAAACACCTCATGACTTTTCCAACAACCCAGTAAATATCTGTCAACTAACAGAGCTTGGCCTACTTGAAATTTTTTAATTAGCAAAGTAGAGAAAAAGGTAAACATTATTTATTTAAGAATGAAACTCGATTTTTGTTATTTTTTTGCCCACAGGAAAGATTCAGACTTTTGCATTAAAATGCCATAATAACTAGTATATGTAAAAAGTATTTATAAAAACTTGTAAAAAGTCTTTTAATTCTAATTTCACAGACCAGAGTAAAATTAACTTCCAAATATACCTTGACAAAATTTAACACAAATTTTGTTTCAAAAGTGATACAAAGCACAAAGAAAAAAATGGCCTATTCATTAGTAACCTCCATTCTGTACTCCTAAAAAAAGAAACTTTGATTAAATATTCTAATCAAAGAATATATAATAATCTAATTCTAATCTATATAATCATCTAGTTCTGATCTATATATTAGATTATATATATATATATGATATATAGAATATAAATTTTAGTATAGAAATCTTTGGTTTGGCATTAGCAAAAAAGAACATAGACTATCAGAACTAAATAACTATGATGAAAAAGTATACATATGAAATTAAAATGTCTTTTAATAATTGACCGACTTTCAGAAAGTAGAATGTATATTACACAACAGTATGTCTTTATTCTACACATTCTTAAGTGTATGATTTTATTTAGATTAATCGCTCTGTGTAAGTCAACACATTAGCTTGGTTTTTTTGTTTGGTTTGTTCTTTTTTAGGTTTTTATATGTCTAAGAAACAATTCCCTAATTAGATATTTAGACATACAAACACTTGAGAGATACAGAGGAAGACAGCGAGAGAGAAAGTGAGAAATCACCACCAAAGGGTGATGGCCACACCACAATCTCTTCTCCTCCTGGGATTTTAGGCACACACACACAAACCTGGTGTGATTTTCAAGCTGCCAGGTCTAGGACTGGAACTGCAGCAGGCCATGTGAGACTCCAGTACCTTAATCACCGTGCCATCTGCTTATCCCCACATTAACTTTTTATAAGTGTAATATAAACAAATTGAAGAGGTAAATTGTATCCTCATGTATTGGGTAATCAGAAAAGTCCTGATGTAGTTTTCTATGCAAAAAAAAAAAAAAAAAAACACTATATGATGGGAAAACTCCAACGGGGCTTTGGAAATAATTGAATTTCTAAATAATTGAATTTTTAAAAAGTTTCTTTTATCTGCATATCTGCATTGCCTAGAATGATAAAATAGCCAAATATTAATTGTAAATATTTTCTTGATAACTTATACATCACATTGTTCAGTAATAGCAAAGAAAGTCTTAAATAAAAATTGCTTTTATAGCTAAATGTAGTAAAAATATTTCCTTCCTCTTCACAGATCAATATGTACCGCCCTATAAAAATTATATTGAGAGATTTATAGGTCATTTCCCAATTTTTCTTAGACACAAAGTAATTGAGAAAAATAGTGAGAAATCAATTACATGTCAAGAGTTCTCTGTCAAGACTATTTAAGACTTTCTTTGCATGCTGTGATGATGCCTAGGAAATGAATGTAAATTAAGTTAAAAAAATTTCAGGAAAAAATATATTTCAGAAGTAAAAAAAAAAATACTAATAATGTATTGATGTATCTCTCTATATACATATGCTTTATATAGCTACATGTGATACAGAGAAAGAGCATATTATGTGCTATATCTATAAATCCGTGTGTGTGTGCATATATATATATATATATATATTCTAACTCCATATATGCACACAGATGCAAATATATATGCATGTATATGTACAGGTATACCTACATGTATATATATATTTTTAACTTATATTTTACCTAGAAAGTGTTCAAGAAGTGTAATATACAGAAGAATATACTTTCTAAAATTTACCTTGATAAAAAACCTTAAAACTTCAGCACTACACAGGCATTAAGATACTGTAAGGATTTGGAAACTTGTATTCAACAAACAAATAGAAAATGAATGGGGAAAGCAATCTACTTTTTAGACCCACAGAGATGATTTGCATAGGTTTAGGAAAGGTGTACTCTGCTTTTTATCTGAATAAGTGCCTACTTTTAAAGGAGCCTAACACAGTGCAGCAGAAAGATATTGGCTGCAAGGTAAAATGCGAGGTAAAATGATATGTTTTCAGTGATACATTAACAGATCTCCCCATTCTGATCAAACCTTCTACCTCGATGAGGTAAGGAAGATACCAATATATTGGATAGCGTTGCATATCCATTATTTTGTGTAATTCCAGTATTGAGCAAGGCAGATATAATTGTGCTGAATTAATGGGTACACATAAAGAATAAGACAAAATAAATTGCTACAAATAAGTGGTAATGGGCATTTCCAAAAACCGAATGATTACTGTATTAAAAAAGTATTAAAAAGGCTCCTTCAAGGGCCTCTGGGAGAATAAAGGAAGGAAGAGATAGATGGGTTATAGGACAGAGTCAGTAAGAACGAATTTTGTATTCATATATTGCGTATCACGAGACCAAAATATTTTAAATTCCAGTCATATTCTTTTGAAAGTACATCAGAGAAATGATTTAAGACAGTTTGAAAGGAAAATAAAGTGATTTAGAACCTTGGAGGTTTCATTTTAAGTGAAACTAAGGATAAGACAACTAAGCAAGCAATATTTTGACAAATAAATAAGTGAATGTGAAAATATAAATTTCAAAGCAATATAAACAAAGTTGGGTGAATAAGAAATAACTGCTTAGTACAAAGATATAAAAGATCAAACACTTTTAGAATAGCTCAACATGCCCAAGAAGATAAGAGAAAAATATATAGAAACTCTGACATGCAGGATTGAATAAAACTACTTAAAAGACAACAATGTGGCAAAGCCATAGAGGAAAATTTTGCCTTTACTCTGTGTATGTGTATATGTTTTGGGGGGAAAAGGTAGTCACTGGAATTCCATTAGAGTAAAAATATAATTGAGTACACAACTTCTGTACACACATGCATACACACACAAGAAAAATCCCACTAACTTAAAAAATATACAGGGCATGTGTGCTTGTGTGCCCAAAATGCTGACCGGATGGAGACATGGAGGAAAATGGATTATGTCATGGCGAGGCCCTACTCTCTCTCTCCAGAGTATATGTATACTCTGATAATGAAATATATATATATATATAAACAAATATATATACATATATATATTTCATTAAAAATAATATATTTTATCTCAACTTTCAATTCATATATAAGAGGAAACACCAAAAGTAAATAGAAAATAAAATTTAAAGATTGAAACTAAAATCTAAATTTTTATTTCTCAACAGTAACTCTGTCAAGTTCAAGACACTTTTGCAAATGATACTAGCTGTTTCATCCATCCTGAAAGAACTGATGGTTCTGGGAATTTAGCTGTGTCAGTGAAGGCTTTTTTACATTATTAACTAAAGAAGAGTGAGCACCATTAACGATTTAATATATTTTTTTTAATGTGGAAACAAAAGGAAGTAAGAAGGAGCCAAATCAGGTCTGGAAGGAAGATGGATGCCTAATGATTTCCCCTCAAAACTCTCAGAAAACTGCCCTTGTTGAAAGAGAGGAATGAGCAGAAGCAAGGCCGTGATGCAGAGGGACTCTCGGGTGGAACTTAGCCTAGACATTTTTCTGCTACAGCCTTGGCTAACTTTCTTAAAACATTCTGATAGTAAGCACGTATTATTATTCTTTGGCCCTCCATAGAGTCAACAAGTGAAATGCCCGGAGCATCTCGAAATACTGTGGCCATGATCTTTGCTCTTGACCAGTCTGCTTTTGCTTTCACTGGACCCCTTCCATCTCTTAGTAGCCATTGTTTTGATTGTGCTTTGTCTTTAAGAATGCAGTGGTAAAGCCCTGTGTCATCTCTTTACAATTCTTCCAAGGCATGCTTCAAGACCTTGACCCCACTAGTTCAAAATTTCCATTGATATCTCTGTTCTTATCTGCAGCTGACTTGGGCACAGTGGTCTTGATAGCCATTGAGCAGAAAATTTGCTCAATTTTAATTTTTTAGTCAGAGATGTATAAGCTGAACCAATTTAGTTCTCAATCGTATCAGCTATTGTTTCTCTATTAATCAGTTTTGTTCAAAGAGAGTACAATCAAGGTTAAGGTTTACCTCACAAGCTGAAGTGAATGACTTGCTACTACAGTTGTCATCTTTAACACATCCAGTCTTTATACATGTTAGCCCCTTGTAAGCTTTGGGAGGGTCACTGTTCTCATAAACTATTCCTAATGACCTTACCATTCTCTTACTCAAGCTTTCCTATAAATCTATAAATTTATTAAATTGATGTTCTTGCTTTAATTTTAGCAGAATTCATGTTGCTCCAATAGGAGCTGTTTTTAAACTGATGTCTTATCCTTCTTATTTAACAAATAATAAGCAAAAAAAAAATTATTATTATTTTTTTTTGTCATAGGGCATGTGTGCTTGCTGGAGAGAGAGACAGGGACAGAGGGGAAGAAAGTGAAAATTCCTTTCTAGGTAGGGAGAAAGGCCACGCCACAATCCTTTTTCCTCCTTCTTCTCTTGGAATTTGGAGCATGCATGCACTCATGTACACTGTGATTTTCAAGCACCAGGTTCACAACTCAAACTATAGTAAGCCATGTGACCTTAACCACCATACCACCTGCTGGCCAGTATCAAGCCATTTTAAAGTTTGGATCCTGATATACACAAAGCAATAGATAAACTTTTTAAACAATAAAGGAACATAAACATAGATCATATATTAAATGATATTAAAGAATTATTGATTTTATTAGATTAGTAATTGCATCTTTTTTTTAATTTCTGAAGTGTTGATGAATAAAATTATGTTATAGGAGCTTGATGTCTAGTAATTAGGTTAAAATACACCAGTAGAGAGAAGGGATGGCACACAGGAAGAGGAGATCAAGAACGGATAGTGACAAAAGATTGCCATTTATGAAAGTGAATGATGAGCAAAGGGGAATTAATCATACTATGTTCTCTCCTAATTCTTTGATAGTAATCACAATATTAAAAATATTGTAAATATTGAAGATTTCTTAGTTGGATCTATATTCCACATAGTTGATTCAATTCCTGGCCCCAGTGGCTGAAAACATGGTGGGTGTATGATGAATGCTTCAAATCCTGACAGGATGGGATAATGGAGGAGAAAAGATTGCAGTATTACCATTCCCCCTTGGGAGTTCTTTCCTCCTATCTTTCCTTTTTCTCTTATCAAGTGCACATGCTCTCTGGCAATTAAAAAAAAGAAAGAAAACTATACATATTGGGGTTATTTTTGGAAGCTGGGTTAAAGGGATTTACTATAAAGTAACTATAAAAGTGAGAATGAGACCAAGTGCAGTATCAACGATGACTTCTAAATTTTTGTCTTAAGCACATGTGTACATGTCATTGCAATTCACTGAAATAGAAATATATTTGGACTATGCTAATTTGAAAAGTGCTAGTGGGTAAATATCTCTGCTTGAGTATAATACCCAGGTGTGACTAAGGTGAAGGTTTAGAGAAAGTTAAATTCAAAACTAATCAGAATATAGAGGTTATGGAAAGCCAAGCAATTGTTTTGGCTTAATTCACTTAAGAAAATTGTTAAGACACTGAAAGTCAGTGGAAGAAGAAAAAACAGCAGTAATTATCAGAGGAAAAGACAGTTATTTAGCAGTAAAACCAAGAGTGTGTGGCGTCATGAAAATCCACTCCAACCCAACAACAACAATAAATAATAATAAAAGAAGAAAAAAAAAAGAAAGAAAAGAAATGGAAATTAAGCAATTATCAAATAGGTTAATTACCATTAAGATATATGGCAATGTTGGACCAGTAGGTGGCATGGTGGATAAAGGTGCTGGATTCCCACATGGCCAACCACAGTTCAAGTCCTAGATCTGGTGGCTTGCTCTCTCACTTTCTCCCTCTCTCTCTCTCTCTCTCTGTCTCTGTCTGATCAAATTGAAAAAATAATAATAGTAATAAAGTTATCTAAAATAATTAAGAAAAAAAAAGATATATGGCAATGTGAAAACCAAAACACAAAAGACAGAATTAAACAACTCACCACCTGAAAAAGAACAAGTTCTACAGAGTAATAGCAGGAAAAGACACATTGGAGTTGATAGAAAAGGAAAGGAGATATAAAGATTAAAATGTTAAATATAGATTTTTTAAGAAATATTTTCTAAAGTGTTATAAAATAGAAGCAGTAGCTCAACTGGAATTGTTATCAAATTAGGATATTTATAATGAATATAGAAGATACTATATATTTATATTACATATATTTATGATATATATATATATATATATCATGCATGTATATATATAAATGTACATGTATTTTATGATGAGAAGGCTGGTGCTTAACACATTAGTGATATCTTAATCAAAAACCAAATTAGATATCTAACAAGCAGAAAAATTGTCAGGTTAAATATGCTAATGTTGAAGTTTTACATTTAACTTGCCTTAATTCCCCAAAGTGATAAGAATAACGTAGTTCTCCTTGATGAATTTATAATCATGTAAATTGGATTTAAAACTTAATACTAAAATCAGAGTCCTTTTAATTTAATCCAATGAAGAAAGATACTACTGATATTATTAAAATTTGCAACCAGGAAATAGAATGAAAAAAAAATAAGAATTAAAGTGTGTTGATCCACAAATTACAGTATTTCAGCCAGAAAAAATAGTGTTCTTTTTTTTTTCTTTTCAGAAAGTAAATCTCTGAAATTTTGTTTATCTCCTCAGAATAATTATAGGGTCATTAATATTATGAAGGGGGGGCAGCAGCTGGCATAGCAGTTGTAGCACTGAACTCCCACATGGCTGACCACAGTCTGAGTCCCGGATCCAGTGACTCGAAACACATCTGGGCACATGTGCATGTGTGTACAAAATCTCAAGAGGAGAATGGAGGAATAAGGGACTGTGGTGTGGCCAACCCCCTGGAGGGTGATTTTTCACTTTCTCTCTGTCTCTGCCTCTGGTGACACACCCTATAATAAAAATCTTTCTTGAAAAAATTATGAAGGTGCTTTGGAGATATTTACAGATAGCCTACAGTAACTTATCAACCTATGAAAAACATATTTGTAATTTTCAAAATGAAAATTAAATTTTCAAAATTTTAAACTGTGTTCTAGATTTTATTTAGGTAGCTTTTGATGGGATGCCTGCATTTAATGATTGACAGCTAATTTTGTATTATAGGCTAATAAGAAAACATGTGCCCTTGCTTGCTGTATTAAATAGAAGACAATATCGCCATTTGTGGAGAATTACTGGAGTACCACCAGTAATAAAATAACATTTTTATGTACTTATAATTTACTACAGATATTAAAAGCTTTGCTCCAATTAATCCCTGACCCTGTCCAAGTAGATATATTTACATTTGTTTGAAGGGGGCAATTTATTAGTAGGAATTAGTCTCTCTTCCTAATGATGAATATTAATTATGTGTGTTTATACTAAAGCATGATCCCTTCTCAAAAACCACTACTTACAGATTTTTTTTTTCTGTATTGCAAACATTTTAGACTTATGGCATCTACTTTCGAGAAGTTACGGTTAGCACTCATGAATTAGTAATTATCTTTTTGCCCCTTGAAAGTGAATACATGATGAATTTTTCACTACATAGTTGATCTCAGCATTTTATCTCTTGTACCTAAGTACCTAGATGAAGACAAAGCATGCACACATCCATTAATTTTAATTACCTGATAGCTACGATGTACCTATTACCATGCCAGGTCTTGTATAAAGTCGTAAAGATCAAAATAGACATAGATCCTCTCTTTTACAACTTTCTACCCAGTAGAAACAAACCCACAAAATGGTATCAACATAAAAATGTGCTATAAACTGGAATGAATTCTATGACATGAAGGATGCATCTACTATAGGAAAAGAAAATGATGGTAGTGGCTGGTTTGTATCGAGGTGGGAGCAGATATCTGTAAAGCAGACAGAAGACAGGTCTTATACTAAACTTAACAAGAATGGTTAGGATGTTTTGAAGTGTAGCTTGGATTTAACTCAGCATTGTACCAACTGATCATCTATATATATAACACTAAACTCAGTAGAGAGAATAAAATGTGATATTGCATAAATCCTATGTCTTTCATTTATTTCTTCATTTTTAATCGCCGGAGGGCACATATGTCACGAGAGAAACAGGGAGACAGAGAGACAGCAGCAGAAGAAAGCACTCCCCCATGAAGTATCATGCCACAATCCTTTCTCCATTTCTCCATCCCTTTGGGTTTGGAAGCATTTACACACAAATGCCTAGCATGATTTTTTAAGTCATGAGAGCCAGGATTTGAACCTCGGTCAGTCATGTGGGATCCAGCAACCTTAATCACTGGGAGACAGGGCCAGACTAGCACGTCTTTAAGGATTTTATATCAATGGCAGTTAGGAATCATTGAATATTTGTAATCAACTAGAGACATATGACCAGGCAGCTTTTATAAGGGAATCCATTTTTCAGTATTTGTGGGTTTGAATAAGTAGATAATGTCAGTTTGTCTTTCTAGAAAGCAGAATCTCCAAGTGACTTATATTAAGATCTTCCATAGAAGAGGATAAAGTGGTAAAGGCACATAAAATGGAATATTTTGATGAGGAGTGAGCTTTTCCTAAAAGTATTCATTGCCTGTTTATAGAAAAGAGATGCTTCTCGTGGCTTGAATCACCATTTTTAAAAGTACTTATTGGGAGGGGAAGGCCAGATGACGGTTAAGGTGCTGGACTCCCACATGGCAGACTGCAGTTCAAGTCCCAGAACTGGAGGCTTGCTTTCTTGTTTTCTCTCTCCCTTTCTCTCT